TCTCTGGAAGCTATCTCAGGCATGTTTTGGGAATACAGCAGGTATTTTTATGAGTGGGATTTGCAAGGGTATTTTCATCTTAGACTTGGAGACAACTGGGCCTGCTGCCAGGTTTAGGAAGTGCAGGGGCAAGAAACATAAAACTAGTGAGAGGTAGGCTCCCCACTGGGGCTTATATTTAGCTGAGGGGAGCAGGAGCACTCAAAAACGTCCTGCAGGTGCTCCTGTGCCCAACCATCCCTCAGCCAGTTCACAGAGGCCAACCTTGGCCCGATCCAGGAAAGGCAAGGGGAACGTGTCTGGGCCGATGGCACTTGTCCATCCTGGCCCACCTGGCACCACCAAGACCCTGGCTGCCCTTCGGATCAGCTGTCACCAGTGCAGCGAGCCGGCTGTGCTGAGGGACCTGCCACCGGGCAGTGCCCATGGATGAGGACAACAAGGACTGGGGGCACAGCACTAGCCATGTGCTGCTCTGTGCCCAGGGAGCAGAGCCGAGCTGCCCGGGCTGGCTGAGCCGCACAGGGGCAGTGCCAGCATCACTCCAGCCCCAGCACAGCTTCCTTCCTGGGCAGCGCCAGAGCACGGCCCCAGGACACACATAACCTGCGGGGTCCCCCAGCACGGGGTCCCCTGGGTGCCATGGGGTGCAGGGCTCCTGCCCAGTGGGGGACAACAGCTGCCAGCCGAGCTGGAGGGGCCAGGGGCTGAACAGCCAGGGAAAAGCACGACCTTGCAGTGACACGGGCCATGCCGTGCTGTGGCCGGGAACATGAGCCGAGCAGCTGTGCAGCACTTGGCTGGGGGCCGAGGTGCACGGGCCTGCTGGTAGCCAGCACTAGAGCTGCTCCAAGCCCCCTCAAAGACCCTCCCCAGCAAGCATGGCCAGCTTGCTCCAGAAACAAAATGCCTTCTCAGGAAAAAAAAAAAAAAAAGGAAAAAAAAGAAACAGCTTCAACCAAGAAATAGCCACAGGCAGGTTTTGTTTTTAAAGCATTTTTATTTTCTTCATTTTGAATTGAATTTTTAAGTGATTGGTTTCACTGAAAATGGGCACATTTTGAAATCCCATGTGTTCCCTCCTCTCTGCCCAGGGGGGGTTGGCTACTGACCCAGCACAGCAAGCTGGGGGGCTGTGCCACAAGCTCTTCATTTTGTGTGGCAGCTTTGCACCTTTTCCAAAGCAAAGACAGTCCTCAGAAGGGGGTAGCCTCAAGCAAATACCCACCCTCTCCGGTACCTGGGACTGGTTTTACTGTACCTGGCAAAGAGGCACAATAACTGGAGGGAGCAGAAGAAGACAAGATTTCCTTACAACTTTTCTTTTTTTTAATAACACTAAGTGTAACATCGTGCCCACATCCAAGGCACCCCATCGCCCCATGGAGGTCTCAGGCCAACACTCGCTGCTCTCCCTGTGTCTTCCTGAGTCTCCTGAACAACCAGCACCTGTGAGAGCCCTGATCAGGCTCGGCTCAGGACCCCCTGAGCCCCGTCTCCATCAGTATGGCTCAGAGCAGGACCCCCTGAGCCAGGCCTGCCCCACTGCCCCAGTGCCCCACAGCACCGAGGGGACTTGGCCCCTCAAACAGGAGCATGTGATGCTCCACCATTTTGGCGGCTGCCCTTCGCATGTGAAATGGTGCCGGCACAGCTGCAGCACCAGTTCTGCCATCGCAGCCCCACTGATTACAGTGCCGTTGTCACGCCGCTCCGTGAGCAGCGAAGCTAAATTAGAGCAACTAATTGCACGTCTCTTTGAAACAATCAGGATGACAAATCAGTGGTAATCTCTTCAGTTCTAGAGGGAAGCTATTGCGGCTCGCTCACAAGGATTAATCAGCTTTTCATCAGTGTTATTATACCAGCGCTGCCTCAGGAGAAGCCCCGAGGCCATGCTGGCTGGGCTCACACCATGGGGACACCAAGGCTGCGGCCGCTGGCGGAGTAGGCTGTGGGGGGAAGCCCCACAATTAGAGTTTGAGGTAGTGCAAAAGTTAGGCCGTGTTCCGTGGGAGCAGTGGAGCTGGTTAGATGGTTTCCATGGACACGGCCTTGGGTTGCAGGGAGTACAAGGTTAAGACGGTTTGATAATGTGCAGGTGCTGGATTCCTGGATGTTGTAGGAATATGTTTGTGTTGTGTGTGAAGTTAGTTAGCTCAATAAAAGGCTGCCTGCCACGCTGAGCAGGCAGACATCTCTTTGTCTCACCATCCTCGTGTGTCTTGTGTGTCCTTCTTTTCCCCTCGGACCAAGACCTCACGACAGGTACCCCACGACAGTAGGCAGTGTGGCCAGGCTTGCTCCCAGCCCTTGTCCATCCTCACAGCTGCCAGCTCCAAGGCTCCACATCCTTCGCTCAAGCTCTGCCCAGGGGGCTGCACCGCAGGTAGCAGGAAGCCTAGGGGGAGGCTCTAGTCTTGAGTGCATCCCCCTCAGAGTGACTCTCCAATACACAAAACTACCTTAAGGACCGCAGTGCCATGTTAGAGATCACTCAGGGAGAAATAAGGGTCCCTGTCTTCTACATAATGAGCTGCAGGAGACACCCCTGTGCCCCCTCCCCGAGCACAGGGAAGTCTTGCTCCATGTGCCCCAGGGTTAGCACCACCTGCACCACTCCAGGTCCATCTGGGGCTGCTTCAGGGAAATCCCACACACCCTGTTGAACAGGAGCTGTCAGCAAGCAGAGCTGGTGCCTTTCAACTCTTCACCACCTCCAGTCAGCAGAAAAGCACTCGGCAGCAACCCTGCTTGGCTGATGCTCAGCGTCTAGAGGACGCTAGGGATAAATGACCTAGGCCAGGCTCTCTACCACTGCTCCATGGCTGACCGTGCCCAAACAAGCCACCTTCTGCTTGATAAAAGCTAAAATGGGAACACATTTATCAACTTCTGTACTTTGTGGCAGTCCCAGGACACTTTGAATCTGCCCACACATGTTAAGACCAACAATGGCAGAGAGCTTTTACTGAAAACACCCAGACCTTGTGCTGCACCTAGGGGTAGTGCCTTTTGGCCAAGATAAGCAGTTAGTGATACCACTCCACAGATAGGACTAAGTATTTGCTTTTCGTGGACTCATCTTCTCACTGTCAGGGGACTTCTCCTGGTCCACACCAGTCCTTCTGCCCTGCCAAGCAGGAACTAAGCACACAAGCATGAGTGTGGGGTGCATGAGGAGGAGAGGAGAAGGCCATGGTGCTGGTACAAAAGCCCCCAGAGACAAATTCTTGCTCTTTCATGCACTCAGACCAACAGCCCTCAGAGCTCTCGACAAGAGGGCTGAAGCCCTGCACAAGGCTCTGCTGTGCCCTGGAAAAACTCTGTGTCAGGCACATGGCATTTCAGTCCCCTGTTCCAGTTTGCATGAGCACAGGTCATTCGTTCCCTCCGCAGCACAGCCCTACTCTCTCTGGCCAAGGGGCTGATGCTGGGCCAGTAAAAGCCTCTCCACCAGTGTGACCGTGGTGTACCTGCCCACAGGCAGAGGCCAGCTGAGGCTCGCACCAGATGTAGCAGGCACTGGGCACAGCTCTCCCTTAGGTGCAGGTCAGCGCCGCTGCCAGAGAGCCTGCCCAGGGCAGCAGCTCTGAGCCAGACACTGCCCAGCCTGGTAGCGAGAGATGGTCCTTGGCATCCAGGAGACAGTCGGCAGCAAGGCCAGTGTGGTGCTGTGAGGGGGCACCGTCTGAGCAGGAATCACCACCTGCAAGGGATGGAGAGAAGATAGGATTAGCTGAACTCAGCAACAGATATGAAAGCCCATCTCCCAGCTACTTCTAGCTCAGACCCCATCCCTGCTCAGCTGGGAGAGAGACTGACATTAAGCAGTCCTTTACTGGGGCCTGGCACCATCTTCCATGGGAAAAATATCTGACTGCAGCTCCTTGCTGGGGCTGGGGACTGGCCCCCAGGCCATGCTGGGATCCTCAGGTGCGCACAACAACACAGCAGCACTCCAGAGCAGCTGAGCACAGCTCTCCTGTCACCATCAACAGCTCTGTGCCAGCTCTGCCACGTTACAGCGCTTGGATCACACCATCAAAACTCAACAATGCACTTGAGTTACAAGATCCAACTTTGGAGAAGAGGTTCTTGACGTTTCCCCACAGCAGGCTTTTAGGGTACATTAGGAATGCTAAAACCATGGATGGAAACTGCATGGGCAGGTGAAGTCAGGTGAAGTCAGCCCTCCAAAACAGTTAAACTAAAACTGCTGAAAAACAGACAAGGAAACACCCAGGGTCACACGCTGCAACTAAAGAACCCTCGAAGTTGTTTAGAGATGGCAAACGTGCACTATACACCATGTGTAACTTCACTTTCCCACTAGCACGTGTGTGAGCACACACCAATTATAATGTACACAAAACACGACAGAGAGATATATTCAAGTCATCTTCATGCGCACGGAAAGCAAGCATCCAGGCAACACACTTCTCCTGGTCAATTCAAAGCACTGAGCCAGGAGAGATCCTTAAAACCAGCAGAGCTCTCTTAACTCATTGTCTCTCACACCAGAACACGTACACCCCAATCCTTATTTTTTTTCCTTCCGAATACCAAACTTGCTCCTACCTGAGCTGTTAGGATTTGCCTTGCTGCTGGCTGGGGCTCTGGTGTGCACAGTTTACCCAGTGCACATTAAACGGCCCATGAAGGACAGCGCGGTGAGGAAGTCGGGTCACAGAGCTGTACCTGCCCTGCTCTAGATGATTCTCTGCAGATCCCCATTCACAGCTTCACTCGGGCCAACTTACTTAGAAACTGCTGAAAGTCAAAGCATCGCTCTCACTCGGGGAGTTTCCTGGTGTATTCCATAACTAGGGCTCACAAACACAATCCTCTCATCCGCTGTTGTTGCCCACAACAAAGGCGCTTGGGATCAAAGGAAAGGGTTAACCCCCATGCAGTCATCGCTTGGAGTCCTGGAGGTCTGAGTGCTGCCAAATCCTGAAAAATGGCCACCAGGCAGGCAAGCTGCTGAGAATCATCAGAATAAGATTGGAAGGTGTCCACATCAATCAATCACTTGTTGACAGATGACTGGAAGCCCCCACTGTGCCCGTGGACAGCTGACCAACTCTCGGCTTAACCTGGAGTCTAACATTAGCCTGTTTGCTTCATGTGGGTGGCTGCTGCGTTATGACCTTAATAGTCAATCAATCTTGCAACGAGCAGTCTGTCTGGCAGAAACATTCATTATCCATCCTATTCATGCATTGAAAAGCTTTATCTTCAAAAACTCTGCGTCACTTAGGGAGGAATAACAGAACCCAGAGCAAGAAAATAGGCCCAGCCCCAGTTCCTAGGGGGAGTCGGGATGTTGGAGCCGAGCTCCCACAACCACAGCAGCCCCAGACCTGGGGGCAGTCGGGGCAGGGTTTGGCCTCCCTTTTATTCCTGGTACCCATTCAGGCAGCTTAGAGGCTGCTGCTCTTGCACCAGCAACTGCTGGAATCCGTGCCAAGAGGAAGACGAGGGGGAGAGATATAAAAGGACAACAAACACACATCAATTAAACCTTGCAAGCTGTTAGTCACACTAGTTAATAAGTTCTTTCTATCTGTAAAGTGCTCTTAGTGACAAATCCTTTAACTGGCACTCAGAGCGTTATTATGGCTTTCAAGATGCCTCTGTCTTTCATGTGCAGCTTCTAGTACACATGTGAGTGCTCCCCGTTGCGCAGTCTGTTTACACTAGTTGTGAGAAGACATCATCAAAGCAAACTGAAAGCAACACTAAATGCTTGAGAAAAACAGAATTTATTCACTGCTGCCTGCTCTGAAATTGCCTTTCAGTTAACAAACCACTGCAAACCGTGGCAGCAGCAGGAGGTGCCGGGGAGCCGGGCTGGCACAGGAGCTTTTGGCCTCTCCGGGCATTGCCACCAGCACCCAGCTCCCAGCATCAGGCAGGGACTCGAGCCTGCTACCACCGGCTGCAACATGGCAGTCACAGCTCAGCAATAAGTGGGAGCTGTCCCCTTCTGTGGCCAGGGTCCCTTGCACAGTGGTCTGTGTACCCAGACTGTGCTCGGCACAGGACACGGCCAGCCCTTGTGCCCCTGGGGTTAGGAGCTGGAGGAATGCCCCAACAGCCCACCACCATCACTCATCCTGGCCATCCCTGTGCCACAGGGCACTTGGAGGATGGCGCAGGCTTTGTTTCAAAGAGCTAAAACCAGACAGAGCTTTGAGCAAGGTGAAGGAAGGAGAAGAGGGGCCATGCTAAGAAGGGACAGTCCCGCCTCACTTACCACCCTACAGCAGCCAGCATACAGTGAACACCAGAGGATGCCCCGTGGGCCAAGCTGCAGAAGCCCCTTCATTACTGGCTGGTCCTTGTTTAGGAGGGGAGCGACAGGAAGGTGGCTCCAACAACACCCGCAACACACAAACCCTGACCAACATCCTAGGAGAGCAATATGGGACATGCAATGGCGGGCGAACACACCAGCACTGGGGAGGCCGGGGACCCAACCCTGAGGGCCCTGCCTGGGGCCAGCAGCTGCACAGACCACGCAGTACTGTGGGGCGTCCTTACAGAAACCATCTTCTCCTTACTCAAAGTCAAAGCAATTAGGGCCCTGCAATGTTAGATTAAAAAAGAGACAGTTAATCAGAAAGCGTCCATGATCCTTCACACTCTGGCTGCCAACGCAGCCGCAATTCAGCAGGCCTTGTCCAGACTGATTGTATGTCCTGAAAAATGAACAGTAACTCTAGTGCAGAAGCAAGTTATGTTTCTGCAAACTCTCTTCCACGCAAACTAAACTATTAATCACCTTAATAAACATTAATGTGTAATGGTCATTCATTAAATTCAGGAAAACACAGGGCCTCAAAGGAATCATTTCATGGTTTCAGTACCTGGGGCACTCACAGCACAGCAACTGTGCTCCTGTGCATGGCCTGTCCCGGGTCGGTGGCTGCCCGATGCCACGCTGTTTACCTGGCATCCACTTGCTGGCAGCAGCACAGCCTTGCTTCAGGAGCAGGTAGCTGGAGCAGCACTGCCATATCATGACCTTCTGGGTGTGCACAGAGAACAGCCCACTCTGCCAGCACAGCCATCACAGCTCCCTGTGTGCTGAGAGCTCAGTGCCTTGCTCGATCCGGCACCCATCCATGCAGCTCCTCCGGCAGTGTGGCCCAGCACAGAGGGGGCTGTGCCACCAGGGAGTGGGGGTGGCAGCAGCGGCATTTGGGGGCCTCCAGGCTATCAGTTGCAGGTGATGGTTTTAGATCTGCTGCCCCAGAAGGTCCTCGGTGCAACCTGGCCTCCTCCGGCTGGCTCAGGGCTTCATGAACGGTGTCAAGTGGCAACTTTCTGGATTCTGACCTTGCTGGAATTTGCTCCTGAGGGGAGACACACCAGTCCATAAAGTTCTCATTAGTGTAAAAGCAGATGTAAGCACTTTGCTGGCAGAGCTCAGCAGCAGAGAAGCCTGCAGTTGATCAGTTCTGCCTCGCTGGTCACTGCAGTCAACAGGAATTACCACAGAGGGTTCCTGTGCCCCTCTCCCAAAGCCCACCCCTCTGAAAAGGATGGTTTAAAGAAGCCAGCCAAGCTCAGGCACTGCTCCAGGAGAACGTGGTAAATCAGTGTGATGAATGCTGAAGGGAGCTGGCCTCAGCCAGGAACAGCCAGCAGGAGAGCAGTGTGGATTTGTTTATTGTACAGAACAAATCTAACTGAGGGGACTCGCTGCTGCTCCCACAAGGAGCCAGTGACTCCAGGGCCCTTATGCCGAGTGACAGAGCGCAGGACCGAGGGGCATGTGGGTGACAGCTGGGATTGGCCTTCGCCACCAGCTCCCAAAAGGACACCCGGCACCCCTGGATTGTCACAGCCAGGGAGCAGCACCTGCCCCTTCCCACAGCACCAATGACACAAGGGGATGGCCAGGCCTCTGAACGCTGCCCTGGGCTGGGGACCTGAGCACGGCCCCCCCCTGGACCCCAGCCACCTCACAGGGTTTGGGGGCCACAGTGCTCAGCCACAGGGAGGGGAAAAGGCAGCAATAAAGGCCATGGCGCCTCCCGTTGCCGGCAGAGTGGGATTACCAGTCCTATGGGGTGCCAGGGCACGCAGCACTCCCTCCTCCACCCCCCTGTGCTCCCTCTCCATCGTGTTGCATTGAGAACCAGCACCAGCTGACCTGGTTTCAGCCAGTTTTCCTTCATGATTAACACTCTCCGGGCCCATGCTCACTCTGTTATTCTCACCAAATTAAAGAGCAGTCCTGGATCCTCGTTAGATTTGCTCACATTTGAGCAGTGTCATGTGGTCAGTAGCCCATGGCAATACACTAAATTAAAGGCCTAATGCAGAATCCACCTACGAGCCTGACAACTAATGAATCGAGGGCTTCAGGCCCCAGAGGAGCCGCGCTGGGATGAAGCCACTTCACGCCGAGCTAGAGCAGAAGTGCAGTCCCTGGGCTGTCATTCAGAAATAAAGAGTTGTTTAATTTTATTCACCACAGGACACAGAAACAACAGCATCTCTGTAACTAATGCTGGTTTACCGGAGAGCCAGGCAGCAAGGAGCCCTCTCAGCACTGATCCCCAGGGCACAGCAGCTCCTGCCTGCGCACCAGAGGTGCTGCAAATGAATTCCTGCTTGGTTTTGATGGACTGGGTGTGAGTCCCCAGCAGGAACACACTGTCTCTCTCACCTGTGGTCAAAATGAATACCTCCACCCATCCCTCCAAACCATGCTGGTGCTCCAGAGCACACAATTCAGCCCCCTCCTGAGCCCCCAGCTCTTCCTCTGCACCCCAAAGGGCCCAGGAGAGTGCAGCTGCCCATACCACAGCACCCAGCCCTCACGGTAAACGCCGCTGCCCACGGGCATCAGCCAACACCGATGGAGTGACAGAGTGCAGCTCCCACACTGGGCTGTTAGCCCCCTCTCCCCATCCCCAGCAGCAGCTGGGCGAGTGCTGGATGTAAGCTCTGGGGCCAGTGCCACAGCCATCAGTTTTGCTCTGAAGCATTTCAAGTCAGAGCTGGAGCCTGGAAAGGTTCAGCCTGTTGCATCAGACAGCTCCAGCCCTGCAAAGGTCAGGGCTGATTTGGTAAGGAACTGTTTGCTGAAGCCTTCCCCTCCCCCAGATCCCTGCTCTTGGCCGCAGGCTCGCACACCCATGCACACACACACCCCCCTCATGCACACACACACCTCCTCCTCTTGCACACACACACAGGCACACACCCCCCCATTCATGCACACACCCTCCTCATGCACAGGCACACCTCGTGCACACGCACGCACACACTCTGCTCCAACCTTCAGAAAAGAAGCTACACAACACCACACTGCTCCTCAGAGCAGCCACATGTGCCACAAATGCTGCCACAACTGTGCAGCGCTCCTGAAGCACCATGAGCAGAGAGGATTGCAACACTGGGACCAGAGGGACTTGTTCAGTCCCTCTCCCAGTGAACAGCCAAGTAAGCCCAGGGCAAAACCAGTGGTGACAGACACCTCCTGTTCCTGGTTGACCCTTTGGTCCCCTCTGCACATCAGCCTGGGCCTCTGTTGAGCCCCTTGGCCAGACAGCCTTGGGACAGCAGTGTCCCGAGCACCCTGCTCAGCTGCAGCTGCTGTGCTGCTCCTCTGGAAGGGGGACACCAGGGAGCAGCCATGGCTGGACCTGGCTGTTTCCCAAGTGCTGAGCAGTCGCTGATGTCCGAGGATGCACACCCTGTACTTCAGGCTCCTCACTGACAACAGCAGCTGTTTGTATGACACACACGTGTGCACACAACAGGCCCAGGAAAGCTTCAGACCTAAACGCTGTCAGCACTCTGACAACATTGTTATTATACCACTAAATAATTTGTTTTGTTGCTACTTAATTGGGAATCAATACAGTGCCTATGTTTAATTACATTCCCCAGTTGGTCTGTCTTTCTCCCTACAGAAATTAGGGACTTTGCATTTAGGATTCAGAGAGCACTGAGACTGCCCTAGGAGGAAGAGCCCCCTTACAGAAACAGACACAGTTAGCAGCATTATTAACTATAAACCACCCACCTGAAGAAAGGTTAGCAGCACACTTACCCTTTCCCATCTGCCAATTATTCAGCTCATCAGACAAAATAAAGCACAAATATTTGTGCAAGTGTTTGTGCACATACACATGTGTGATCAGGTGTGTCTGGCATAGCTGGAGAAAGCCCCATGACATGAGTTTGTGCAAAATCCAGACAGGGTAACTCAGTGCACGAGTGACTGACAAACCCCTCCTCTGGCAGCAGCCCCCCGTCACCAAGGGAAGGGGCAGCTGCCCACCGTGACTCCCTGCAGGTACCAGGGAGTTGCCGGCTGCAGGCAGCGGCACTGCTGCAGGCAGGGATGCAGGTTGGAGCAGCAGATGAATGTGGGGATATAAATAACACTATCCTGTGCTGTCTCAGAGACAGCTGTGTGGGAACTCTTGCAATTACTTGCTTGTAAATGGCAACCTTTACATGTGCTTGACTTGTGATGTCTTTACATGCTCCATCTCTGGAGGGCTCCCGAGGCAGCTCAGCAGAGCTGCCTCCCGCTGTGCTGGCACCCCTGCTGCCTCACCAAGGCCACCCAACCAGGACATATGGTACTGGGGGATCCCACCTCCTCTGCACCCACCCTTCATGTCCCTGCTCCAGCTGGGAGCACAGGCAAGCCTTCTGGCCAGGCATGCACTGCCACTGCCATCATCCACTGTGCATTCCAGATGGACATAGTCATGAACCGGAGCCTCCCTCATCATTTCCAAAGCAGAGGCAGACCCACGGCACAAGAAGAAAGCAAGGTGTTCCCTGTTTGGGCTGGTCTGAAATGCCCCAGCGCGTTCCTATGAGGAGCCACCCCAGAAAGCACCACGCTGCAGACACAGAACACCCAGATCTTTAGCCTCTGGGGGACAGGAGAATGTTCCCAGTGACCCTCCGAAATACCATAACAGGGACTCTGCCAGCACATGGCTGGGTGGTGCAGAGCAGTGCTGGGAGCAGCCAGCCAAGACTGGGAAGGGAGGAGGCTGACAAACATGGTGATGGGCTCAGCCAGGCACGGGGGATCGCTCCCCTCTCCTCTCTGCAGCTGGCATCAATCCATCCACCCATTCTGGCACATGAGGACAGGAGGGCAGGGAGGAGCACTTAAGACTGAGACATGTATATTTGATGCCACTGCACAGCCCACCCTCCCTGTGTTCCTCTATCTGGACAAGGCACGACCACTTCTCTAAAGCCATCTTTTCATCCCTAAAGCAAGAGCTGCATTTTAGCATTAATTTTTTTTTCCTAGACAGACTTCAATCTCATTAATTTTAAGACACTCCAAGCTCTCTTTAGCAGTCCCTAACATAATTCTCCTAACTTAAGATACACGATACTAGATAGAAGTAGCCAATCCCGTTTATAATTGTATATATGACCAGCAATTCAAATTCACTTCCCTTGATTTAATGTCCTATTTGTATTCTATCAATAAATGGAGTTCTCAGGACCATACTTAAATGGAAGCAGCACTATGCTCTGATAGCCAAAGCCAGCAAAAAAAATTTCATCGCTAAACCAAAATGTCTTGTAGTATACGATTCCTTGACTTATTGTTCTCTCCTCTTCACTGCACTTGAATATTAACTGTTGTATTAATAGCTCACTCTTAATTATCCATGAGTAATGTACTACAACCAGAAAATTAATGGAGGGAAGCACCACAAAAATGGAAAAGAATTCTCCCTATCCCCAATACATTTTCAAGCAGACTGTAAGAGGAAGGAGATACACACACTGCCTTGAACACAGGCAGAGAAGAGGCTAGTGCTTGGTAGGGTCCATCGCTGAACCATTTGTCACAAGAGGGAGGTTATGAGCAGGGGTCTGATAATGATACCAGAGAGCTGGGATGGTCTGGAGAGGGGCAGCAGGGCTGGACAGTGACTCGGTCCTGCAGCCCAAGATGGAGGAGATGAGTGAGACCAGACTGAGAAATTTCCAATTGTTAAGGACGACTTTACCATAAACACATAATTCGGCTCCAGACTTCACTGCAGCAGGAATCTGAACTTGAAAAGACTGACAAAGGACAGGGTGTTTCTATGGATAACGTGGATTCTCAGAGTTGAACATTACAGCTGACAGGCATGCAAGGAGATGCTGCACCCTTCATTCATCATCACCTTTGCCCTCCAAAGTGCACCTGAGAGGGAGGACCTCTCATCTCTGCCAGGACATTTCCCCTGTTGGAAGGTGCTTCACCATGATGCCATGACACAGTGTCTCTGCCCCTGAGCTGGGACTGGGGACAGTGCCAGCACAGCTCCTGCAAGGCAGCCAGGAGCTGCACAGGCAGGGCCACCGCAGCATCCACCTCCACGGGTGTGATCCCAGGGCTGCTCCAGAAGAGTGGAATGGTGAGGTGCCTAATTAAATATGTGCCTTCCAGTGCCAGAGCCCTGCAGCAGCCATGAATTATGCAGCGGCTCACTTACATGTCAGCAGGATCACAATATTGATGAGCTATCCTGGGTGTAATCTGATAAAAACCAAGATAAACTCAGCAAAAATTGAGTGTAATATGATCCTTTCCTTTCAATAAACCACTTCCAGCTCAACACTGTGAACGTCTCCCCAGGCTCCCTGCTCACCTCAGGCAGCCCAGCCCAGCGGCTCCTCAATATGGCCCAACACCAGTGCGGAGCAGACACTGTGCTGGTGGAATTCACCTACACCTGCAAGGCAGAGCTGGATGCCTGTGAAGCCTTACCTGGGGATATTTCCATGCCATATGGAATTAGAGGCTGGTGTTCTCCACAGCACCGGTGCATTCCACAAGGTCTGCGTTTTGGCATTTAGATTAATGCTGGAGACAGGGAGGAAGAAGTTGCCATGTCTCACACTGACTCCCTCCTCTCTGTCTGAGCAAATGACGGATGACAGAGTGCAACTCCCACTCAGAAAGGCTTTCCAGCGCTCACACAAGACCCAGGTCTGACTCTGGCTCCCATGAAAAGCCAACTGCTTTATAATCCTGTCCTGGATGCTTTCTGCACCCTGGGAACAGCCAGCAATGCAGGCTTCCGCCCTCAGCCAAAACACATCCCACAAGAAACACCTCAAGGAGCAGGGAGATGCTTCTGGCCACATTTGGTCACCGGACCCACACAGAAGGCCAAGGAATACAAGATGAGGACAGAGGACGCTGCTCCCTGCCCCGGCACTTCCCCAGTGCAGCAGGAACTGGTGCTGTTCACCCTGAACTCAGTGAGACCTTCAGAGAGCCTGAGGGGAGGCAGTGCCCACCCACACAGCTGCTCATAGAGGTGGGGGGGGGAGCCAAGCCCACCCCCCCCTTCCAGACAGAGCCAGAGGCGATAAGCAGTGAGCAAAGTGACTGCCCTCACCCTGGGGACACACACCAGAACCTCCTCAGCAGCCTCAGTCACAGTGTCCCTGTCCCATCAGCTGCGGGGACATAAGGAGGGGATCACTTCATTAAGAAACAAGCAGCAGATGAAGTAAAGACATGGAAGTTACACAAACTCCAGAGCCTGCAGGGCACTGCCAGGGGCTGAGGGCCCTGCGATGGTCCATAAATCCCCCCCCACAACCCCAGTGCTGGCAGGTTCTTGCAGAAGAGGTGACTGTGAAAGGCTTGTTTGACCTTCTCCTAGGGGACACTCACAAGAACGTCCCTTGTTCTTGTTTGAGCACAAGAACAAAGCTTCAAAAGCAGAGTACTGCTGGTTTTCTTTCAAAATAATATTTCAAATCCATAGCAATGTAAAGAGAGAAGAACACAAAGACTAAGAAAGAGTCAAACTGGGAATCTGCCCAAGGTAACCAAGAAATGCCAGAAAAAGACCAGTAAAATTAATTACTTTGGTGAATTCAACGACCCCAGAGAGAGCACTCAGCTTCCAGTTCTGCTGCTCCTCTCTCCAGACCTCTCTCTGGCCCATAGGACTTTAGCAGGGTGAACCCCAGCTGGAAATCCACCCCGAGAGTGGAGGGTGACAGCATCACACAGTCAGCACCATGTGCTGAGCCAACCGCAGACAGTCCCAGGCTCTCCACAGCCACAAGCTCCTCTGGTTCCTGACGCTACAGGAGGGATCTAGATCCAGCCAGGTCCTTCTTGCCGCAGAGGCTGCTCTCCCCTCATGCCCACGGGGTCTGCACTAGCCCAGTGGGTGCAGCGGTGGGGGCTCGGGTTGGCCCAGCACCCCTCAGGGGTCTCCAGCCTCACTGATAAGCCTACAGGGAGGGACAGGAATGTTGCTGCCTGGAGACGCCTCATTTCACAGATGTGTCTGTGTCTGTGCAAGAGAGAAACTTTCACAGTTTTACTGCTTTTCAAATATTTTAATGCAAGCCATTTGGTGTCATATTTTTAAAAAATGGGTACCAGCATGAGCTACATGCGCATTAGCAACTGTCTCTCTATTAGTGTAAATACAAGAAGCAGAAAAGCACAGTCTGACTCCTAATCCATATGGTTATTCCAAATAGATTGCATGGTCTTATATTTTGGCTTATTAGATTGGATCCTACATATGGAAAGAATTAAAATGCTGGATTTACAGTGCAGGCTAATCAGAACATGTTTAACTTACAATGCCCCAGCAGCCCCAGAGGGTCACAGCCTCCCAGACACCTGGCGCAGAGGTTGATCCTGCTTGCACAGTGAGAACCTCCCCAAAGCCTGGCGTTGCGAGGGCTCAGGGCCTGGCAGGATCTGGCCTCCAGCACTCCAACAGAGCAGGCTGCAAGGAGGAAATACCTCATTTCCCACCGACTAGTCCATACAAGCACAGACAATAGGGCCAAGTGTGTGCTGTACGCAGCACTCTGTGTTGGAGCTCTGGCCAGTGCCGGCTGCTCTGCCCTGACTCTTCCTATCTGAAAAAGCCATCAGATTGCCTGCCCCTCCACTTAGAATAAAAGGTCACTTCAGGGCTTTTAGGGTGTTTTTTTTCAAACAAAAGTATTATCTTAATTTTCTAAAAATACTTTGCCCCAAGATCACAAAAGCTGTTAAAAGCAAGGCATGATATCACTGTTAACGAAGCCAGAGCTCATGGGAAGGTGGATATACAATATGTACTTCTGCTAATTCATTTCTGGACAAGGCCAGACTCATCCCAGGCGCTTCAATACCTGCATTTCTACCACCACAGATGTAAGTGCACTGAACTCCCCCACCAGAGACTCTCTTTGCAGCAGCCCAAGCCTCTCCTCCTTTGTTTTTGCATGGATTTATTCCACTGATGTTGTTTCCATGTGAGTCAGTTGCGTTTTTATTGCTCCTCTAAATACAGCTTTCTCCGAAGTTGCTGAATTTCTGGACTTGGAGCCATGACAAAAGAACACACTGATTCACCCTCTTCTACACCGCTCTGCTCCCGCCGGCTGACACCTCCCCACAGAGAACAGTTCACATGTCTCAAGTTTGCTTGTTTTTCCAGTGTTGTTTTTTCTATGAAAAGCTAAATTGTCTGATTGCGAGCACATCTTTAAGGAAAAGGCTGCAGGAGAAGCATTCTGGTTCAGCTTCAACCTGGCTCCCTCCCAAAGCTACCTTTGCTTCAGCTTTTACGTGTAAGGAAACTGTTTATCACCAGCCTGCACAAACGGACGCTGCTGAAACACTTCAGCCAGGCTGTCAGAAAACCGTGCGGGGTTTGTGGTGAGGTATTAACAGCTGATGGGAAAAAATCCATTTTAACAACCTGCCTGCACACACACATCACATGGGCTGAGGAAAAGCAGGGAAACTTCAGTCCAGTGGGTCGCTGCTTGCAAAGTCAGTACAAATGCACAGAGCCATTGGGCTTGGAAGAGCTGCTCTGCTCATACCAGCGGCTCTGCTGCAGCACCACAAAGCTTGAGGTCCGAGGAGAAGAGAGAGATTAGAAGTTTCCACTGAGCACCCTTTACCCTGGTGCTCCGGAACATGCCTGGGACATACAGCTCTGCCACATGAGGTTATTTTCACCATCTTACTGAAAAAGAAGATGTCGCTGCTATTCCCTGGCATTGCTTTGCTAGAGAACAAAATGCAGACTGTGTTCAGAAGTGTCACTGTGGAAATCTTCTTAAAACTACGTGTTTATTTTCCTTACTTTGACCAAACTGAGGTAAAACTGGCCTGCCAGACAGTCCAAAAGGAACAGGAGAGTTTGTTGAGCAAAACAATGTCACTGATGTCACCTTCATCCACCGCTCACCTGTGCTGTGGCATAGCTCCAGCCCCAGTGCATTCAGGGTCTGGTTTTAATCATCACATCCAAGAGCTACAGAAAACACCTGGAAACAGCATAGGGTGAAGGGAAGCTCCGAGGCAGAGCCACACTGGCAGGACCAGGGTGACCATAACCTGCCTACACTGCAGCCAGAAAACCACACTGAAAACCATGCTGACAGCAGCAGAAACCACCTGGCTTCTCCCCGCAGGTCTCCCAGCTCAGGCATTCCCACGCCAGGGAGCAGGAGCAGACCGTGCCTGGAGCCAGCTCACCACAGGAGGGTGGCCAATATGAACCAGTATGAATCCAGCAAAGGAGATGTGGTCTGGAGAACTGGCACCTGGCCATGTCTCCAGTCTTCCTGGGCTCTCTGATCTGCCTCTGCCTTTCTGCTGACCCAGGCCCAAACCCTAGACTTGGTCCCACACCAGACCCAGGGCTGGTCCCACATTGTGCCGCACCACCCGAGCTTCACTCTGTGAGCCAAGGCCGATGCCATACACAGGAGTTCGGCCCCCTCAGCTCCCTCCCACACTCGACATCATTGATCACATTGATCAACAATGCTCTCTGTCCTGGAGCACCACTGGAGTCTGTGCAGAGCCAGGAGGGAGAGGGTTTGAATAGCACAGTCAACCCCTTAAGGGTTACGTCAAGTGGCAAGTCAGTTATCAGTCTCCTTAACTGCCAGTAACAACAGCTCCAGAGACCCAAGCGAGAGCTTAGTGTCTCCTCAACTCTCCAGTCCCAGGATGTGTGCTGATAGGTAGCCCATGGCCAGGGTGGCCAAGGAGTGGGATCATGCCCCTAGCCTACCCCTACTCCTTCCTGCTCCTCAACCCTGGCAGCGGGCAGGGGCCACAGCCTGGGCTCACCGAAAGCCACATGCTGGGCTTCCAACAGGTACCTGCAATCAGGAACAGAAGCCAGCCCTCCGTGGAGCTGCGGGGGCTCGGCAGTGGGAGCAGCAGCCGGGCTGGCAGCACCCAGGCACAGGGCAGCTTCGTGGGCAGGTCTCAAGAGAACAGCTGAAACCCAGAAGTTTCCCCACATGGTCCATACTGCCAGCTACAACACTGGAGCACTTTACCTGTGCTGAAACCATCATCAGATTCTACTGTCAAAAGATGCAGAGGAACTTGGAAAGGCCACAGATGAATAACCCTGCTCAAACCATCCCCTTGATACCGAGAGCAGTTCTGCAAAAACACACTCCACTATGGCCTAACAGGTTCTTCCTCTCTACAGCCTCTCATTACCAAGGACCAGGAAAAGAGAAGGAGCATGTTCTCCTTTTGATTTTTAAGGAAATGATTAAATTGGGCTCAACTTTTCATCTTTCCCACAAAAAAGTACTCTGTCATCTTGCGCCTGTTCAC